GTTTTGCAAGAAAATGCTAGTGAAATGGGGAGTAAAATCAAAAACAAAGAGTTTGCTTGTTCTAAAAGTTGGGAAGAGCGTTTCAAGAAGTGGCATCATATCAGTAGCGGAAAAATTGTTGGAGAGTCTGCCGGTGAAAAATTCTTCTTATGAAAACGTTAGAGGCGATCGAAAAATGAAACATTTTCTATAAATCTCTTAGATGCAGTCAATTTCATTCATAGAGCTTGGCAAAAAGTTAGCACAAAAACCATTGCAAATTGCTTTAAAACTATTCTTAAAAAAATTCTTGAAAACTACATAAGTAACATCTATTTTTGCAGCAGAAATGTACAAACAAAAATTACAGACTTTATGAAGTAGATTTCAAATTGAATTTTGTTTATCTTTTTGTGTTCTTTTTAGTCATACCTACTAACTTCTACTGCTCTATGTAAAAATAACGAAATAAAATACACCACGTGTTTTTGTATTATTATTCGCTTATAGCGAACTCTAGATATAACAAACCAGTTTTAGTTCATTTTTCAAGTTCGTTATATCCGGACTCAACTGTATTTTATTTGTCAATTGATTGTGTAAAACTTGAACTTAAAATCACACCGATTAGGAAAATCTGCAAGCGAAATAAAGTGGAAGTCTGGCAAAAAGACAAAGCAAATGAAGCAATTAAGCAAAATTTGTCACAGAATTTGACAAAAATCAATGTAAAATGCTTAAAACACAATAGAAAGTAGGTCTGGGTAACACAGTGGATTTTCAGGTGTTCATAATCGGAGTTTTACCAAATGAAATCGTTTATTAATTATTAACTGAATGACTGTGCTTATTACAATGATAACCGAATTTAACTAAATTTTAAAAAAATTTTAAATGTCAGTCAAACATAACCGGCAACATTGCATAGAGTTACAGGTAACTGTAATGCATATTCGTGACCTTTTTACATCAAAAGGAATCGATTGAGCTCAGATAACACGCATGCGGTACTCTTACCTTGGTCACCCTGTAGAATGCTCTTCTTTTCCAATATACCGGGTCTCAATTTGAAAACTTTCCAACGATTTAAGTCGCAAAAATCGTCAAGATTTCCTTTACAATCCCTAATTTGCTAGTTTAAAGTCACATTTTCGGGTTCTTTAGTTCTTCGAGAGGCCATTAAAACAAATAAGACACTTTTTCCAAAACGAACGTGTAAAAACCGGCTCATTTAAAACTCCAATTGCAATAAATACTGCTTTACTGGCAGCTGATTTCAAAGTTGATGTGTTTGTGTTCACTCGTTGCCATGGTACCCGTCTTGTATTCAAAGAGTCGACCAGCGATTGGTCGATCAGGTTTACCTACGTGTTTCCGGAAAAACACGTCACCAGGGACGGTTGCTAGGCAGCGAAGGTCACGGACGGAAGGAATGCGTCGAACTCATTAAAAAGCATGCTAGAAGTTTCAGATTCGAAATAATAGACATTTTCGGCACTCACGATCTTTAACCGAAGATTTCTTCCTTATTATTGGCACAAACTCTTTATAAATGCATATTTCTGACCTTCTTATGTAGAAAGGAACCGATTGAGCTCAAAAAACCTGCATGTGAAATTTTGATTTTTGGTCGAAATTTTTCCAAAATGGGGGGTCGATTTTTCGGAAAAAAATTAAATTTTGTACCATTTTGTTGAAATATTTCAACAAGCTTTCTGAAAATGATTAAAATAAAATAAGAAGTAAAACCTAACGTGACGGCGGAAAAACAGAATGTTGTAAGCCAGTAAGAGAAACTATGATTCACGTGAAAAGCTTCAATTTAAAATGACTCTGATTGGGAAAAGCAGCAAGAGAAAAAGAGTGCAAAACTGAAAGAAAGATAAAGCAACTGCTGAGCAAATTCAATGAAAAAAGCACATAGAAGTGGAAGAATTCACACAGATAAAATTACCATCGAAATAGAAAAAAGCGAGAAATCAAGAACATATTGAAGAAAAACGTTGCGGACCTGAGAAACGAACAAACAACAACTCTGTTCACAGAATACAGTTCTCAAAGTTTTAGGCAATGACTATAATGGGGACTTAAGGAGTTTAGCGCAAAAAAAAATGCAAGATTCCTCTAAAAAGTAACACTTACTTCAGGATCATTTTCCTCATAGACTCTCTGTTCCACAATTCCAGCATTTTTCAACATTTTTCGAACATCCGGACTCCTTCGAATAATTCCTTGCCGAAAAGAGGTCACAACAAGTGGAGTGGCCAATGAAAAACTCTTCAAAATGTCATCAACTATCACTGTTTCCGCATGCAACAGACGAAACAATTCAGCAAAGAAAGACATCAAGCAAATAAAGAACAGCACTACTAAGACGTGATAGTAAACGGTGTACAGTTTTCTCAAGTTTTCATCTGCAGGAAGAAGCTGAACTGGATAGAGACCAGCCAGCTTGCAAATCCTGGCCACAAAGAATCGTTGATTTCTGTTGTACATTGAAGTGAGACTTTGGACTTTTCGGCGCAAAAAAGCCATAACTGATGGAGTTTGTGTGGGAAAATGACCAGAAATGGTGCAATTCTGCACTATATAGACTTCAGTAATTTCTAATTGAGCAATTAAGCAGCATTAATAACTACCTGTACCTCCTTTGTTGAGTGTGCACCTAGCAATTAAGGCTCTTTGCAATGTTTTCAGCCAATGATTATATAATTAAACCGATTACTAAACTTCAGAGACGAACTAGCCAGAGAAATTAGCCTTGACTAAAGGGCTAATTGTCTGCTCTAGATTTTAGTGCCACTAAAAACCTGGCGAATTGCAAATGTTACCATTCCTAATCGCATATTTGTTTTTATAGGACCTTTTGTAACGATATCTTTTTCGTTGTGCCCACGCAGCCAGATGTTTTTGGCTCTATTTCACACGAGTGTTATGTTTATTTTTTGTCAAACCAAAACTACAAGCCACAAATCCCCTTTGAGGTTTCAATTTCACTAATTTGTCTGTCTTGTTGAGCCATAAAATTTGCCAGTTCGTTGGAAAAGGGTGAATAAACAATTCAAGACAGGTTTAAATGTTAAAATGCGTTTTTTTCCCCAAATGAAAGCTCGTGGAAACCCTTTGTTGAAGTATTAACAATCGTGTGAAGAAGTGAGGGCGTTAGAAGGTTCAGATGCAAAATATCCACATTTTTCTGCTGGTTTTTTAGCAACCTTGAGCCTAAGCGTCAGCATCCTCCTTATTATGCATCCAAACACTTTATAAATGAAGAGGCCGAGGAAGAAACGTGCAAATCCAGTATGGATTTTGAAGTTTTCATCGTCTAGTTCACGAGAGAACCGATAGTTTTTTGCAAAGAACTTTTCAAAACTTGACCATTTTTCAAAGAGTAATTTCTGCCAGTCGAACAAAGTTAGAAACGTGCTCTTTTTGCTGATGGGTCGAGACCATTTTACAATATAATTTCGAGAAATGTACCTGAATTTTGTTGCCCTTTGCATCAGTTTAAAATATTTTTTTGGAGAAAAGTACAGAAGTTCTAGCTCGTACAGGAACTCAAAAATTTCGTGATGAAAGAGTACAAATGTAGTTTACGACGTTAGTTGAACACCTCCAAGTTAAAAAATGTTTTGAACCTCAGTAAAAGTTCCAAATCAATCGAAACTTTTTACACTTATTTTTCAGGATGTTTTTGAATTTTCGAAATTTCAGATTTTCATCTGCTGGCCTTTAAGAGCTGCGAAGTTTTAGTCGCGCACTTTGGGCACGCATTCATGAACGAACGGCGTTTATTATGCGCAAAAAAAATCAACCCCTCCTGCAAATTGATTGAAACTTTCTGAGATCATCAGCAAAGGGTTTTTCTATTGCCGTCTCATATTTCGATGGTTTTTCCGCATTCATTTGCGGGCTGGAAATTTTTTAAGAAAGTCGTGCACTGTTGGGGCACATTTATGGACAAACCTAAAGTTGCACATTTTGCAACAAATCAACTAATGAT